GAATGTCACCTCCAACTTCTGAAGAACAGTTTGCAAGCTTGTGAACGAAAGGATATGTAATACAAACTACATCCAGATCTATCACTCGGAGGCCGATAAAGCTGCTACGATGCGCCGTGCCCCTGGATATTCTTTGCGATTCAGCCCCGTTGGCCTCACTTTGTCCGTCAAGAAACACTTCAGCAGCGCAAGCTGCGCTGTGCGTGGATTGACACATCCAAAAACCAGATGACTTGAGTTCGGTTTCTCTGTCGCAGTCCGGTTTCTAAGCGCGCGAGTCCACTGCTTTCCATGTATTAGCGCGTCCATGCACAGCCGGGTGGACGCGATTGGGCATGTTCGGGACTTTCGCATGCGCCGGGTGATGCCTTAAAGCATCACATCTTTCAATCACCTGGTGGTGAACGAGAACGGCACCAGCGAGAACGGCACCAGCGCAGAGCCTTAGTAGCAAGTAGCATGGGAGACCCCGTCGCATGGGTTTCGATGGCACCACGTTAGGGTCGCCACGTTCGATGTGCGAAAACGCGCGCGGTTGCGCGCGTCCTGTGTCATTGTGGAATTACGCAGGGGCTTCATTTGGTCAGTCTTCGGTATTGCCAATACATAGAAAGTGGAAACATTCTTTTTGCTCCGGCCAGCCCGGCAATGATAGAAACAAATGCTGGTCATGAACGACATCTTGGATCTATCTATCAAGAAGATTTCTTCTTACAAGTTTGGATCGAGTCCCTTAGGATTCTGGGCATGAATTGAGAGGACAAAAAGCGCGTGAAACATCTTTTGATAGGTATTTTTGGCCAACAGTCCACGCAACTATCCACCCAAGTTTTTACCCCCTGCCCCACCCACCTGTATGCGGAAGAACACATAGCCACTAGTCACAAAGGGCATCGCTACTAGGAGCAAGGACGCTACCAGTAGCTCCTTGCATTACTACTAGTAACAAGAAGCTACTAGGAAAAAAGGGCATCGTTACCCGCCTCCCGCACCGAAATCGCTCCCTGCATGTCCAGGACCTTTCTCCGGGGCGCGAAGACCTTCGAGGTGCCTCTGGCGCTTCCTCTGGCGCTTCGATCTAGCGCGACCTCGCGCTCCTTCCAAAGTGCTGAGGATGGGACCTCGTCTGAGACGTGGGGGGGCGATTGGGACCAGTGAGCAGAGAGGTAGCTTCGTTGAAGAGGTAGCTTGGGGTGGTCTGCATGTAGGAGGATTGGTGAGGTATTGTGAGGTTTTGTTCATAAAGAGACCAACTGACTTGGTTCACTATTGCTCAGCCCCTCTCTCATGCTCTATAACTCTATGTTGAGCAAGACGCGGATCGAGCTGGTGAAGTGCAAGTCTTTAAGTCCAAGATGAGCATAGGTGATGCATCTCTTGCAAGCGGCTTGAAACAATAATGAATAAAGTGAGATTCGAAAAGAGCTATATATAGGCTATATGTTTTTATTTATTGACCTTTTTTTTAACCTGCCAGCGGTGATTGTTTTCCATTTTCGTGTTTCCATCATCGATCATTCACTGCTTGGCGGCCAGCAGGACCAGCGGCCAGTGCCTAATCAGGCTGAGTATCTCTATCTCTGGAAAGACGCAGCTGTTGTGAGAAAGGGATCCTCGGACTGCATTGATGGGGGCTCTCTCTCTCTCTCTCTTGTCCTCCCCTCTCTCCCTCTCTCTTTGAGAATGCAATGTTGATTGCACTTTTCAAATAGCTTTGTGTCATTTTCTTTGTTTTTGTTTGGACGGTTTCACACACAGACACAGGTCACAAAGAGGGCAATTCTCCAACGGTCCCGAGTTCGGGAGGAGTCTAGCGGTCGGTCGGTCTTCCTGCTAAATGGCGGTGTAAAGATCACCGGTCTGGCTTGCGGTGAAAGCAACGTCCAACAACCTCTTTGTAACCTCAAAGGTGTTAAATCTTTTTCAAACATAACTTTTGACTATAAACCCTGACCTGTGAAATTCTACACTCAAAGGAATGAGCGAACCGATGCTTTGAGCGAAACGAATACTTCCATGTCTGATCCGTGAAGACCCACGTCACGAACGAACGAAGCCCCTTCGGCTCCGACTGCAGGACCTGATGCGTTGAGTCCCGTGGGCCACGGAGTGGTGAAGCATCCAACTGAGCAAAGACCTGAACGAGTGACGTCGTACGCGTGTGGGTCTGTGGGTCTGCCTTCTTTGATTGCATAGATGACCAAGCACTTCTGGGTTTCCTGGCATGCATTGAGAGATGTGCAATCCATAGTAAAGCTTTGGTTTAACTCTATAGCAAGGAACAGAAGACGATTCAGAAACTAGCTCCGATTCAGGCCGATTCAGAAACTATCCGATTCAGAAACTGGCCGATTCAGAAACTATCCGATTCAGAAACTGGGGGTGGGGTGGGGTGGGGATCTAATGAAATGTTTGTGTTGATGTAGCGTGGACATATTCGTATTTCACAGACCCGATTCAGAAACTATCCGAATCCGCGCTCCTTCTAGTTTCCGAATCCTAGTTTCCGAATCCGTGGCCACCCTAGTTTCCCAATCCGCGGTTCTAGTTTCCGAATCCGCCGTTGACCTATAGCAAGAGAGTGGGATGCGGTGTTAGCGCCAGGTGGGAGTCATCCGACTTGAGTTGCAGGGAATGCTACTACGAAGCTTAGCTCCAGCAGGATGGAAGGGTGACCTTGGCGACTGTTGTGGAAGAACAACCAGAGCACCATGGTGGTGCTCCTCTGGCTGTGGATCTTGCGTGCTGCCCTAGCATCTTCACTCACGTCCTTTTCTGTGAGGTCAGGTTCTTTCATTCCAAAGACTGCACGGTCTCACCAAATCGCAGCCTGCGAGCTGCAGATTCAATAGGCAGATCGTCCACAATCTGGGAAGCAGAAATAGATGGCTCGTTGGTGCAGGCAGAGGACATTCTGGCGGAACAAACACGTCCAAGTGCTCTGTCAACGTGCAGAGCAGATGAAGTCCTGCCTTGAATTCTATCCAGCCAATGACGTCCCGTCCATCAGCTTGACATTCCCTTGAAACGATTTCTTTTCGCAATAGGCAACAAAGGCTCGAGCAACTCTGATAGAGTCTCTGTCAGAAAGCATCCGTCAAGCCTTTTGCCTTTATCTTCCCTTGGAACTGCATGTTGTTGAAGAGGTCCTATGTGATAGATCCCTGGCATGACGGAGAGGGCCCAAGGTGGAGCTGCTGTTTCCTTCACGCTGACAGGCAGCCTGAAGGGGGCAACTACAGGTGCCCACGCATTCAGATTCAAGATGAGCTGAGGATTGACATGCTGACTGACTGTCACCTGCTTGCTGTGAGGCCGGCAGCCCAGATTGCTTTTCCATACCGGCAGCGCCTTGCCCAACGATACTCAACCTGCACGATACTCAGCTTCGGTCAATTTGAAAACCGAACAAAGGCCTTCTCTTCAGTAGGTAGCAAATGGCATTGCATAGCAGTTTGAAGCCAGTGATGCAAATCAGATTCCAACCGAATCCCGATTCAGAGAAGGGAAGGTGCTTTGGCTTGCAAAGAGAAGCCACACTTTCAAAGACTGTACTTCATCATCGGATTCCACCTCGACCTGGACATTACTTTCCAGCTCAACCTCGGCATGCTGCACACATTGCCGCTGGATTAAGGCTCGGCATATTGCCAGTTGCCAGTTGAACATGCGATCTATTCACGGCCCCGGCCGTGCTCCGACGCTTCGGAAAAAAGTGTGCCATAAGCTCATATGGTTACTTTTTGCACCAAGCGCACAGCCCTTCCCCAATGGTAACAGGTACCAGATACCTCTTCTTTTCCAGATAAGCGAAGGCCACATAATTCAATTAGATTTGAACAGTTTTGAACTCTGATTCCCGGTTGACATCTTAGCTGGTATTTATCTTTGCCATTTCATCTTGTGAAGGTGTTCTAGAGGATTGCTACCTGTGGTGCAAATGGCCGTTGAATATTTTCTTCAGTGACACACTTAGATGGATGCTCGCAAGAGCTGAGTCAGTGATGGTAGCCCACTCTAGTGAATACAATACCGATCTAGAGCGCTGAAACCTGAACCTGTCAATGGCCATGTGCAGAACGGACAGGTGAAGAGGTCAGCCTAAACAACACCATCGATCTGCAGGTACACACCGGGACGTCTCCCAGTGCTTCCCATCTCGCTGCCTAGCTTTGTTAGACCAGGTCAGCAACGAGATGCCTGGTCCCCCTGCTGGTAATTGTCGCTCACTCGAGGTGAATTATGCAAATGATACATGAAAGGCAAAACCTTTGAGACAGGTGTTGACACACACACACACATACCAAGCCGTAATCGGCGCTCACTAAGAGGGTCATGTCCTTTTTGGACGTGCAGTTCAGCTAGTTGAGCAAGCGCTCGCTCAATTGCCGAGGGTGGGTAGGTGTACTTGTGGATGAGGTGTGCTCTGGAGTTGAGTCCTGACAATCTTAGTCTCTGAGAGCCGGCTGAGGCTTGGTCTCAGATCTTCCAAGGTGCATTGGGTGGGATGTACGTGATGGTGCGCTGGAGGAGGTTCACATCAAATCCAAGTAGATGCATATCGTCCACAGCAGGCAAAAACTCCTAAGTTATTTGTCAGGGCCGTGTGTTAATAGGCTCTATCATATCGAGCCTCAATGTGAATCTTTGCGTATCTCTGCATTCTGTTTTCCCGTGGCTAAAGCAGTAGAAGTAAGTGCAGCTTTGATTTCACCTTTGATGACAACAATGTATTATTACAGAGGCTGGCTTTCGTTTCCTCCTTTCTCAGGTATGATATGCAAGTTTTTGTCAGAAAATGTGCCACGCAGAATGCCAGAGCGGGGGTCACATCCGGTGAAGTAAATTGATTTGTTGCGTCTCCTCTTTTGTGCCGCCGCTGTTTTGGAATAACAGCAGCAGCACTTCTCAGGCAACAACTGCTGTTGACAAGTGCAGCTTTGAAATATAAACCAAGTGTTAAGCCAACAATTTGTACTTTCAGTGCATTGCAAGAGGGGAACCAATAGCAGCATAGGCCCGGGTTGATGGCAATGATTCGTGGAATCGCTGTGAGTTTGGCAGCTGGTTGTGCGATATATTTTATTGTCCTGTTGCACTTTCCACTTTCGCAATGCAGATTTCCAAGCTGTTTGCACCAAGAACGTTCAAACCTCAAGCGGGCAGTGACGGAATCAGATGAAGTCTCAATCCCTGCATGGCGTCTCCCGAAACCACCCCGTTTCGATCGCGGAATCTACCAGCTAGGCGCCGGAGAGTACATGAATGTGTCCAAATTCCATGGTTTGATGCCCGCTGGAATTTGGAAACGGTTGGTGCCTTTGTTGCACAAACTTGCAAAAGGAAATGCAATCAACATTGTGGTTTTCGGAGGTTCATTCACTGCAGGCGCGGGTTGCCACCAACCGGACGCAGCCAATGACAGCCAGTCCTTCAAGAACAAACTTTGTTCCTGGACAGCGCGTTTTTTACATTGGCTGCGCGTTGCATTTCCTCAATCAACTGTAGAATTGGAAAACCGAGGGCACGGTGGTTCACCATCGGCTGTTATTCTTGGAGGTGTGGGGCTCTTCAACTACAGTACCGTGGATTTGATTTTGGTAGACACATTGGTGAATGATGCCACAGACGAAAACCGAGCCTTCGGGAAGTTGACGAATGACGCAGACGTGAACAATTTGAGCAACATGGAACTTGGGTCGGTGGCTTTCGAAGTCTTAATTCGAACCTTGAGCGAACTTGCGCCAAAATCGACGATCTATGGAATTGAGGCAGGCTGTCCACTTTGCCTACATAGCGCCCTAGCGCACAGGGTGGTTCTTGATTTTTATGGAGTTCCCTATTTGGATTTTGCGAAACTGGTGGAGAAAGATGGCAAACTTTGGACTCCAAAGAAGCCTCATCCAACATTCAAAACTCATCAAGCAGTTGCGGATGTGTTGGCCTTCACTTGGAGCAACGTTTGGGACAGAATGTATCATATTAAGTCGAGTGAAGTGAACGAGGTGAATTCGAAAGCCCAGCAAATGCTTTGCCACCCACAGAGCACATTTTACCACCCAGCACTGTATCGAAACAGATTCACAGTTTGCAAGAAGCCATGCGCGATCCTTTCACCATGGCGGCGGTCCACTGTTGAAGTCAGAATCATTAGAGGCAATTGGAGTTTTTATGAAGATCGTCCAGGAAAACCCGGATGGATTTCTACATGTCCGGGTTCTGTCATGGAAATCCCGTTGTGCTTTGGGCAGAGTCCCACTTTCAGTTTGACATACTTGAGGAGTTACGAGAAAATGGGGAAAGCAAAAGTTACCCTTAACGGTATTTCTTTAACCATCAATGGCCTGTGGGATGATGGAAACCGATTTGCGCAATCGGAGACTTTGTTTGCCCAAGCTGGAAATGGCCTACTGCAGACATGGGGAGCGGGTATACTAGGCTTCAATGTGACACCAAACTCTTCATTGCCACTGAGACGTCTAAATCTGGAGTCTGGCAACAACAAAATGAAGATCATTGAGATCATATCCTGTTAGGGCGGACAACATCTAGATTGGGAGAAGACATGACCAGGAGGCGCTTGAGTGCGCGGGGTGGCTGAAATGCGCAGGAGCCGACAGAAAAAAACGAAACGCGTAGGAAGTGCCATTGCTCTTCTAAACATGAACTTTCCACGTACGGATTGATAGGGATCCTTGTGGACCCTGAACAAATGGTGTTGCCATGTAAACATTTTATCATTCCGCTAGTCGTTTTTGTTTCCTTTTGGCAAGTTTAAACCGACAAGCGCCGTAACATATGACGGAAGACCGTGACCGTGAGACCCACAGTGAAGTACGAGGTCAACAAGTGTTCGACCAAAGAGGGTCAATCTGCCGAATGGGATGTGTTCGACCGACAGGGATGGGAACGACTTCAGGCGACCGCGGAAGATCCGTTGGGAGACACTCAGTGGATCGTCACGGAGGTCGAGAGAAACTCAAGAGCGGCATAGCGGAGGTCGTGAGAAACGAAAAATCGTGGATATCGAGGGTGGGTGAAAGTGGAAGAAACCGGCAATGTCTTCTTGTTGGTACAAGATCAGGTCATCATTGGTGTGTTAAACTCTGAAAGAGCCGCCAGAGATGTCGCAGGATTTGGTGGACATCAGACAGCTCAGTGAGGTCCGAGAAAACAACCTGAAGCAAGCAGAACATGGCTCTTCAGCCACGGTCTGGCTTCATGGAGCGCTCACAGTCGAGCCATGTGCTGAAGGAGCATCGTTCAAAGGTGATGCGGAACATGTGGAAAAGGCAGAAGCCGGTGTGCTCGTAGTGCCAAAACAACCATTTTCCCATCGTCCATCGACGATGTTCAGCATGCAAAGAGGCTGCGCTCCAAATGTGCTCAAATGCCCATTTCTCCTATCATCCATTCATGATATTCAGCGCACAAAAAGCTGTGTCCAATGTCCACACGTGCAAAATGCTCACCCTCATTGGGTGCTTGTCATCCATTCAGATTCACACCCCCTTTTGAGCTTTTGCACCATTCAAACGGGCTCAGATCCACTGCCCATAGCCCATTGTCCAGCGAGCTGCTTTCAAAAAAAAACGTAGCGCTCTGCTAGCTCATAGTGGCTCAATCCAGCTATGGATCTTCTTCCTTGAAGGTCCGGGCAATTGAGGTTCCCGGAATCACTGGTAGCTGCTTTGCTGGTCCATGGCGTGCATCATGTGCCCTCAAATACATGGCGAAATCCAGTGGTGCACCCTTGCTTGTCCTCTGGTTGATGTGGGATCGGACCCACTTTCTGTAATCCCATAGGCTCTTGTCCGTCGCCACTTCATAGTAGCTGTATTTTCCCTTGTACTGGCCAAATGAGATCAGCGTCTTCCCCCACATCTCTAATGACTCAATGCCCTGTGGAAGATCCACAGGACCAGGGCGTTCATCACCACCAGCGCCCACTGCTGAGGCATCCAATGCCGGGAGCATCTTCAGTGAGCCTTCGCTTTGCACCATCGTGCATAGCGCCCATGTTGCCAGCACCATAGCCTTCCGCAATACCTTTGCCTGGAGCGCCCACATGCATAGATGGTGGCCCAAAGTCACCTTCCACATCGCAGGCGGCTCTCTTTTGCAAGAGAAGTGACAGCAAGCGCTCATCGCGCTCCGTCCACTTATTAGGATCTTGCATGGCTTCCACGGAAGCGCGCCGGCTACAAAGCTGTCCACAAACCGGGACACCAAAGTCCACCACCCTAGATGGGACTCCGTTCGCCTATCCAGGCTTTCAAAAAGAAGTGAAGGCAAACGCAAAAGCAAACAGTCACAATGTTATTGCGACGTGTGTCATACCTTCAGGTATACATATACTGCAACATCACGTGTGCACAATTGCGTGCATTTTTCTGAGTGCATCGTTCCTGTAACATGTTGTTGACGCACTGCTGAAAGCTATTAAGTGTCTCGCCATAAGATCCGTGCCTTCTTCGAAGCTAAGGCCAAAACCATCACAGATCTACAACGCATCAAAATTGAAACAAAGTGCTGAAACTCAGAAAGCAAGAAAGTCCAATGAAGTTCACTGAAGACTGTCCCCCTTTCAAACAAAAGATCAGCTGTATTTGACATCCCAAGTCAAACAATCATGGTTCCTTTCGTCCAATACGAACTGCATCTACGATTCCTCTAGCTAAACGCTTTGTGTAGTTTCCAGTGTCCGGAAAGTCCACCTTGTCCAATGGAAGGATGCTCACAATTGCAAGTACACGTACCAAAGCGCCTTCTCAAGACAGTGCAAAACCCTTTTGACGTCGAGACAAACCTCAAAGTCTTCCCGAGGTCCCGGCTCTCCCTGTACAGTGCATCCAGTCCTGCACAAGCGAACAAGGCTTTCATGCACAAGTCCATGCTGAGCAAGAACGTCCTTGGTCTCAGGTCGTGACCAAATGGCGTTCACCTGTGGCAACTCAAAAGATGAACTATATCCTAATGAAAGGTAAGACCAATGGTATAGCGATTTCGCAAGTCGAACAGTCGACGTGCGCCTCGGCACTTCGTCACTTCGGCACTTCGTCTGGATGATTGGTTTCACCAGATCGGTGCAAGACATGTCGACGATGTCCAACGGGATGTCCGCCTAGCTTCAAGCGGAACGTGCTGTAGTGCGGAGTCCGATTCCAGGAACACGTGCACTGGATCTGCTTCATCCATCTCCTCAAGGCTGAACAACACTCTATGCACAAGCTTACCAAAGGCAATGGATTCCTGGCAAACAGACTGTAATGCATACAACTCAGCTTCACATGAAGACAACGACAATGCATGCTGTTGGCGAGCCAGCGAGCGAACAAGCGACCGTTCAAAGAACACGCATCCACCGGAGATTCCGCGCCTCTTATTGAACCGATACGGAGCAAAGCTGGCGTCCGAAAAACAATGCAAGTTCATCATCCTCAACTGCATCTCACCAACCTGGCTTTCCAAAGAAAGATCTCGCGAAGGAAACACAAGCGCAACATGCATGTCACTCTTCAGGAACCTGAGCACTGCTCGAAGTGCTGCTTCCGTCCCTGCCATTGGTGCGGCCTGATGACATCCAATGATGCTCAACCACGTCTTCAAGTCATGTCGAACTTGGCTCATCCACAACAACTTGCCTAGTGCTCTTCTGAAGCGTCCATACGCCTCGCTCGACAAAGGTTTCTTTGCGCTCTCATCCGACATCGTCTTTTCTAGGTGGCTTGCAACGTCCGGTACTGACTCACTTCCCTTGTCAATCCCAAAATCTCGGAAGGTCGAATCAAGGTAGGTAGGGTTTATTGACAAAAGAAATTCGTCAGTGTAGGCAACTCTTTGGATGATCCGGCCAATGAAGGTCAACGAGCCCGCTTCGATTGGAACTTCCCCTGTGGTCTTGGTGGGTACGACTTTGGAAATCGTTTCAGCAACAAAGTTCTCAGCCTCCACTGTCGATGATGCCAACAAGATGTCATCAACGTACACGATGGCCAACACATGTCCAAGATATGCCTCCTTGTCGTACACAGCTCCACTGTAGACACAGGGTTCAACTCAATCCGTCCAAAGCCCAACAGTCTTGACTGTTTCTGAGAGTAGTTGCAGCCAGCACAAAGATGCATCACGAAGTCCATTAAGTGCTTTGTCCAACACCAAAAATGCAGGTTGTGTGTCGTCCAAACTAACACTCAAAGGAAGCTTCAAAATTACACGCATGTGTTTCCCTAAAGGACTGTGCATAAACGCGTGACTTATATCCAATCCACGAAGACGATACTTCCTTGTTGCTGCGATAGCTAGGATGAGGTGCAATGCTTCGATCGATGGTGTAGGTGAGCTAAACCCAAGACTACGTGCTGATTGTCCACGATTGAAATCCTTGGCTACTATACGTGCGCGTACACGTTCTGGTGACTTATACGCTGCAACCCAACGACTCGAAATGACGCGTGCATTGGGATATTTTTGGCAAAGCGCTTTCATGTCTGTTTCCGAAATAGTCTGTCCTGTCTTGCAATGTTCGAGGTTGTGAATGTCTTCTTGCATTCCCACAAATCCTTGCTCCAAATTAAGTTCATCGAGCGTTTGATCATCAATTATGGCCGTGGGTTTCCAAATCAACACAGTTCGACCTCCGAGTTGCATAGGAACATGTTCACTTACATGTCCGTGGTCAAACCGAATGGAATTCATTTCCCACGTGTCATGATCAAACATGTCCGGTCCAGTAAGTGGAGAAAAGGAAGGAACACCCTCAATGTGCAACAAACTCGAAAGTTGAACAGGTTCACCAGTCTCAACCCAATGAAAACCCAACGGATTATCATCTGAGGTGGGCTCACTGGAATGTCGTAAGGGTTGAAGACTGCGGTGGGGGTGTGGAGAGCCACAGGAAAATAGATAGTGCAAGTAGAACTTAGCCGCCGCAGACGCAAGATGGATTTCCTTTGTGTGAGTCAAAGGGGGGAATCATTGACAATGACTATCAGCACGCTTTGCTCAGTTGGCCGGTGCTGCAGGGGGCTTTGTTGTTGATGCCTTGACCAACCTGAGTTGACGGTGTCAGCATTTTGTTGGGTTCTAGTCCTGCAAGCAGAAGCATGACAAAGACTGCAAGACCAGCACCTTAGACAGATGCAACTGGTCACACAACACGTTCGTGTCACCCAGGACAACTCTTGTTCTCCCGCACCAAGACTTGTTAATATGAATCAAACGAATTACTGTAAAGGGCGCGAGCCACGGAAACACAGAGAAAGACAGAGAACCAACGGTTTGTGACGGAAATTTCATTATAGTTATATTCATTACATTCATGGCAGATGCCTGCGGCCTATGACAAACCAATGACAGAGCAGACGTCCACATGAGAAGTTAATTATGGTTGCCATGCCAGAGGCGTGTTGTGGAACCTAGATGACCACCTGTTGGACATGACTAGTGATGAACATGTCATGTTTGGCTGCATGCTGCAGGGGATTTGGGTGAAATTGTCCGAACTAGCCACATAGCTTGCACCCCAAAAGGAAACTGTTCTGCACCGTTCGGAACCCACATCTTCTTTCTGGAGGCCATAGGCTCAAACAGCAGGCAGCTCAGTCAGCCAGCTCAGTCAGC